AGAGTAGTATATACAACATCAAGTACTTTGAGTTTGACACTTCTGACCAGTCAAGAAGAAGCAGTGTCCTGAGTTATTTGGGTCTGTACAAGTTTCCATTTGACAACGTAATACTTAGAATGCTTTACAAATTATTATTTGATTTATAGCAGTTTTATTTACTTGGCAGTTTAAGAATGTCCGTTATCTCTCTGTGTATTGTGGCCCTGGTCGTCATAAGTGTGGTTATTCTTTGTATACTGAGATAAACAAGATTGTTTATTATGATGGATAACCAGTAGTTATTTATAACTGCAGTGTGATTGATGGCTAAGGAAAGAGGTATGAGGCATTATAGATGCTTCTTTTCGTTTCTTTCTTTCTTTTTTTTTTTTGAGACGGAGTCTTGCTCTGTCACCTAGGCTGGAGTGCAGTGGTGTGATCTCGGCTCACTGCAGCCTCCGCCTCCTGGGTTCAAGTGATTCTCCTGCTTCAGTCTCCTGAGTAACTGGGACTACAGGAGCACGCCACCACAACCAGCTAATTTTTTGCATTTTTCGTAGAGACGGGGGTTTCACCGTGTTAGGCAGGATGGTCTTGATCTCCTGATCTCGTGAGCCACAGCGCCCGCCGGCATTATAGATGTTTCTAAAGCATCTAAGGAGCTTCTGACTGCTCGATTTCTTTTACCATTACCACTAGGAAATGTCTTACATTATTTTAAAAACTACATTACATGTCAGTTTCAACTGTTGATTTGTTGTACTCATGTGACTTTTAAAAAAACTGTCTTTTGGATTTTTTTAAGCTTGCAATTTAATTGCCAAAACCACTCTAAAAACTTTAGATATTGTTTTGATAACTTTTAAGCTTAGCTGTATAATTTCCAGCATACTCGTCCCAAATTCTGTGGTGTTGTCGTCTAAGTGTATTCTTTAGCTTGAGTGTATCAGACTAGTACTTTTTCACTGCAGTTATTTCTCCCCTTTTTTGCCCTGTCGTGCCATACATAATGCTGTGTTTTCATGAAACTCATAAAAAATTCATGAAGATTCGTAAATTTCACAATCATTGTCTTATGCAGTGTCCTTGTAGGGGCTGTTTGTTTTGGAATGCTACACCATGCATCAGGGAACCTGGGGTAGAGTGTAGCGGGTGAGTTTTGGATGACTGCCCAGTGTCTCTCACTTCTTTGGGAGTGACTCCCAGTGCTGTGCCCCGATCCAGCTGTAACTGATTGAGTCACAGTTTCTGATATTGCCTTGGCCAGTTAAGTTGTCTGTCTTGGGGATTTATAATTTAGATTCTAGACAGTTTATAGCTGAGTCATGTTACTGATGGTACTCTAGTAAAATGATCCTTGAGTTCCCTTTTCTAAGCTGTCTGTGCTGTATTGGTACTTAACCTTCCCGAGTGTTTAGTCATTCAACTCACTTTGATCCTGAGAAGATTGTTCTTTGTTTCTGGACTTAGCTGGAGATGATTTCTGTTGTTTCAACTAAAATAAATCAAGTCACACATAGACATGGCCTTAGAGTTATGTGATGGGTTTGTCATGGAGAGCATTCCAAAAGCCAATTGCAATTTTCATTTTTGCCTCCTGCTTTAATTGCCTCTGCTGGTACTGTATGCCTCTCCCCACCCTCCCATCTTAACTCAGCCATCACAAACTCCATGCAAACACGCCTGTTGTCTGCACGCCCTTTTTTTTTTTTTTTTGAGATGGAGTCTCGCTCCGTCACCCAGTCTGGAGTGTAATGGTGCGATCTTGGCTCACTGTCTGCACACCTTTTTTTTTTTTTTGCAGCTCAGTTTCATATAGATGCACTTCCAGTGCACTTTTGAAATACCATATACATACTTTGTGAATAGTGCATGTTACACTATACTGTTACGGTGTGCTTCGCTGGCTCCTCATTAGCAGCTCGTAAGGTCAGGCCCTGAGACATACTCAGCCTGGTGTCTTGGCGTCTTACACATAGTAGACATGAAATACATTCTTGTTGGATTAATTTTTCCTCACCTTATGTTATTCCCACTTAATGCCTTTATTACTAATTTAACACATACACATTGAGTATCCCTTATCCAAAATGCTTGGAATCAGAAGTGTTTTGGATTTAGAATTTTTTCGAGTTTTGGAATATTTACTTATACATAGTGAGCTATTTTGGCAATGGAACCCACGTCTAAACACGAAATTCATTTATCTTATAGCGCGAAGATAATTTTATACATTATATTAAATAATTTTTCACATGAAACAAAGTTTGTATTAGGTGCTTATGTTTGGAATTTTCCACTTGTGATGTCATGTCAGTGCTCAAAAATTTCAGATTTTAGAGTTGTCTGAATTTTCAGATTAGGAATGCTCAAACTCTACCTAGTGTGTGTATGTACTGGAGAACATTCTGCACTCTGAGGATGCCTCAGGAAAACAAACCAAAATATGTCTGCCTTCCTAGAGCTTACAATCTAGATAGTGAAATTTTCCATCTGCATTCTTTTAAATTATGAAGTATGGCTAAAGTAAACTTTAGGCAACATACGGAGTATTGTACTGTAATTGTAAGATTCTATGATATCTCTCGAGTCCTAATACCGTTTTAATAGATAAGTGCCTGTTTCAGTGGGATAATAGAGCTTGTGACTGACAAGGAATCCAATACAGTACTGTGCTGAGTGCCCGGTGAGAACTCAAGAAAATTGTATTGAGGGATTTTGAAAAGGTTATGGTTTTGGAAACGTTCCTGAATGTGCTATATTTCAGTGACTGTGTATAGCAATATCTCTTTCTTTGCAATGCTGTGCTGTCATAATGGTGATAAAATATTTTAAAAACTCTTCAAACATTTGCCTTGTAGGCTTATTTTATATTTTTTCATATTATTTTTGAATTTGTAGACACAGCATACTTGGGTTAGTAAAAGTATAGGTTTTATGAGAACATTTTCATGCCATTTATCCTGTCATTGACAAGAATTATCTTGTCACTTAACGGTTTCATAGCATGATGTTGGCCATAGGTATTATTTAAAGGCTCTTTGGTCCCTTGAAAATTGGTCTGTGGTAGGTTCCCATAGCTTCAGTCATGTATCTAACAAATATTTGGCTCAGTAAATTTTTAAGAGGGAATACTCAAACATGGAAATACTTCCACTTTTTAAGCTAGAATATTATTGCCATTTTATTTAAAGTTGAGCTACCAGATGGGAGAAAAAATTCACCGGATCCTAAAACACTTGTTAGTATTTTGGCATGTTTAATTTTGTATATTTTTCCTCTGCATTTTAAAAATCATAGCTATAATATGCACATATCAAGTTTGTGCCCCAGAGCATATTTTCAGAGTAATTATTTCAAGTAACGTTATGTGTTGGTGTAGTTAGATGAATCATGTTCTCCCTAAAACTTAAGCTTTCTTATTTCTAGGGCTACTAAACACAGGACCATGACTGCTGTAAGCCTCAATTTTGTTATCATGAGAAGTACCATTATGAGGAGTAAATGAACTAACAGGAGAGAGTCTATTGTGGTATTGGCTCTTAGTGGGTACTTAGGAAATGTTAACTCCTCCTTTCTTTGTTTGCTTAAATTATCTTGGGAGAAGGTGCCAATATGTTATTTGACCCTTTAAATAAAATTAAATTTTATAGTTTCTTTTCCCTTAAATAATTTTAACCTTGGCCGGGTGCGGTGGCTCAAGCCTGTAATCCCAGCACTTTGGGAGGCCGAGATGGGCGGATCACGAGGTCAGGAGATCGAGACCAGCCTGGCTGACACGGTGAAACCCCATCTCTACTAAAAAATACAAAAAACTAGCCGGGCCAGGTGGCGGGCGCCTGTAGTCCCAGCTACTCGGGAGGCTGAGGCAGGAGAATGGTGTAAACCCGGGAGGCGGAGCTTGCAGTGAGCTGAGATCTGGCCACTGCACTCCAGCCTGGGCGACAGAGCAAGACTCTGTCTCAAAAAAAAATAAAAAATAAAAAAAAAAATTTTAACCTTATAAAACCCAAGAATGTTCCTATGTAAAAGAACTTGGTTACATGTTTGCAAGTATTTCTTTGAAAAATGGAGTTATTTATTTATTTTTATTTTTATTTTTGACAGAGTCTCACTCTGTCACCCAGACTGGAGTGCAATGGCACAATCTCAGCTCACTGCAACCTCTGCCTCCCAGGTTCAAGCAATTCTCCTTGCCTCAGCCTCCTTAGTAGCTGGGATTACAGGTGCCCACCACCGTGCTCAGCTAATTTTTGTATTTTTAATAGAGACAGAGTTTCGCCATGTTGGCCGGGCTGGTCTCGAACTCTTGACCTCAGGTGATCCACCACCTCGGCCTCCCAAAGTGCTGAGATTACAGGTGTGAGCCACCACGTCTGGCCTAGTTATATTTTTACAAAACAGAAGTATGTATGAGAAATTTCGCCTTTTTTAAAAAAAAAAAAAGTCTGGCTCTTCGCAGTCAGTTTTCTATAGTAATCTGAGAGCATGCTTTACAACGTTGTTTTAATGAAGGCTGGTTATATTTCCCCATTCGGGGATCCAGATAAAACCATTTCACAGATTGACTTTCTGTGGGGGTATTTCTATATAGGTATAGGACAAGAATTCTCCATTTAGGTGCACATATTCTCATATTTTAAAAAATTGGCCGGGTGCGTTGGCTCGTGCCTGTAATCCCAGCACTTCGGGAGGCCAAGGCGGGTGGATCATGAGGTCAGGCGATCGAGACCATGGTGAAACCCCGTCTCTACTAAAAATATAAAAAATTAGCCAGGCGTGGTGGTGGTTGCCTGTAGTCCCAGCCACTTGGGAGGCTGAGGCAGTAGAATGGTGTGAACCCGGGAGGCAGAGCTTGCAGTGAGCCAAGACCGCGCCACTGCACTCCAGCCTGAGCAATAGAGCAAGACTCCGTCTCAACAACAACAACAACAAAATCACTGAAAAAAATTTAATGTTTTACTATTAAAGGGTTTTTTATTTGCACTTTCCTAATTTTTTTTCACTTTATTTTTCAGAATGAACCTAGTGATCGAGAAGATGGCCTCACCAAAGGACATCATGTGACAGACTCTGAGAATGATGAGCCCATAAATCTTAATGCTAGTGACTCTGAAAGTGAGGAGCTTCATAGGCAAAAGGACAGTGACTCTGAATCTGAGGAACGTGCAGAGCCTCCTGCAAGCGATTCTGAAAATGAGGATGTCAATCAGCACGGGAGCGACTCTGAGAGTGAAGAGACCAGGAAATTACCTGGGAGTGACTCTGAAAATGAGGAACTTCTTAATGGGCATGCAAGTGACTCAGAAAACGAAGATGTTGGGAAGCATCCCGCCAGTGATTCTGAGATTGAGGAGCTCCAGAAGAGTCCTGCTAGTGACTCTGAAACAGAAGATGCTCTGAAACCTCAAATCAGTGACTCTGAGAGTGAGGAACCCCCAAGGCACCAAGCCAGTGACTCCGAAAATGAGGAGCCTCCCAAACCTCGAATGAGTGATTCTGAAAGTGAGGAGCTTCCTAAACCTCAGGTCAGTGATTCGGAAAGTGAGGAACCCCCAAGGCACCAGGCCAGTGACTCTGAAAACGAGGAGCTTCCCAAACCTCGTATCAGTGACTCCGAAAGTGAAGACCCTCCAAGGCACCAGGCCAGTGACTCAGAAAATGAAGAGCTTCCCAAACCCCGAATCAGTGATTCGGAAAGTGAGGATCCCCCAAGGAACCAGGCCAGTGATTCTGAAAACGAGGAGCTACCCAAACCCCGAGTCAGTGACTCTGAGAGTGAGGGGCCTCGGAAGGGACCTGCCAGTGACTCAGAAACTGAGGATGCGTCCAGACACAAACAGAAGCCAGAGTCAGATGATGACAGCGACAGGGAGAATAAGGGAGAGGATACAGAAATGCAGAATGATTCCTTCCACTCAGACAGCCATACAGACAGAAAAAAGTTTCACAGTTCTGATAGTGAGGAGGAAGAACCCAAAAAGCAAAAACTGGACAGTGATGAAGATGAGAAAGAGGGTGAGGAGGAGAAAGTAGCAAAGAGAAAGGCGGCGGTGCTTTCCGATAGTGAAGATGGAGAGAAAGCATGTAAGGAACTACCTTGGGCTGTTTATCAATGGCTTTATTCATTGTGTGAACTGGTAACTGTGGAACGGTGTATCCTCTTGGTATGTCAGATCTGTATTCTGTTACTCAGCTTAATATTCTGAAATATCACTAGGACACTCATTTCCCCTGGTTATCATTAGCTAAACTTAATAGTAAGTTTCCTTTGAGTTCTGTTAGCATGTATTAATCTCTGACTGCCTCAAAGTGATAAACCACATGTCAATAGGAATATAAAATACTCAGACTTTTTTGTTTTAAACTGGAAGAGGTAATGTTTCAAAGAAAAATGTTTACATGAAAACCCCTAACTGTATTCAGTGTTAGCTGCGGGTCTCTTTGACACTTAGTTCACTGATCCCATCCAATCAGTAACTGAGCTCCCACGGTTGTTAAACATTGTCGAATATTCAGATACAGGGAAACTTTGAGGGGATTCCATTTAGAGACACCATCTCTCTCCGGAGTGTTTCAGTCTCTGCTACCTAAGACTCCATTTTCACAGATAGTAAGTTTTACTTGTTTACTTTTTTATGAAACTTATCTTTGGAAAAGACATATTTCATTATAACCCGACAGTTCTTATAGGAGAAGGAAAAGGTACCAGACATGTTGCCAATTTGTTAAGGAAGATGAGAAATTTCAAACTGACCAGCAATGATAGAGGAACGTGGAGACTATTCCTAGAAAGAAATATGTAGTCCTTTTTAGTTCAGTTACTACTAGGCAGCATAGAAAGGATGCCAATTTTGCCCATCAATCTAGTTTTAATTTTCTCGATTCCCCAAAAGGAAAGGTGACTGCTTTTGTATTGATATCTTTCTTCATCTTTTGGCCATTTTTTCTTAAGCAAAATAACAGAAAATTTGTAAGATGACTCTCAATGAGCCATTTAGTTATTTTAAAAACTCTAAACCATGTGTCAGGAGGCCCTTTGATTGATTTTTTTTTTGCTGCATACTGCCATTTTAAAGCATCTATTATGCTTGGTAATACAATGACCATGATAAAATAAAATTAATGATGATTTTCTTTTCAACAGCAGCAAAGAAGAGCCGTGTTGTCTCTGATGCAGATGACTCTGACAGTGATGCTGTATCAGACAAGTCAGGCAAAAGAGAGAAGACCATAGCATCTGACAGTGAGGAAGAAGCTGGGAAAGAATTGTCTGATAAGAAAAATGAAGAGAAGGATCTGTTTGGGAGTGACAGTGAGTCAGGCAATGAAGAAGAGTAAGTGACAGTGTAACATGAGTTTTCAGGGGTTCTTAACTAGGCAGTACAGAGGGGTCTGTGTTGTAATACAATATGTCCTGCCTAATTGCATGTCTTTGGGGATTTAGTATTTTAGTTCCTGAACTGAACACACTACAATGTGGGTGAATCTCAGAATTCATCTCAGAATTAACATGTTAAGTGAAAGAAAGCAAAGAGAACATATGTGATTCCATTTACATGAAGTTCAGTAGGCAAAATTTATCTGTGGTGTTGGAAGTCAAGGTGGCAGTTGTCTCTAGGATGTTGAAATTAGGGGACCAGCTAGAAGGGGCCATGAGAGAACTTTCTCGGGAGGCTACATGAGTGTATAGGGTGCTGGTTACATGAGTGTATACGTTTGTTAAAACTCATTGAACTGGACACTGAAGATCTGCACATTTTATTGTATGTAAATTCTGTCTTTTAAAAAATGGTTCCTATGCAAATGAGAAGAAAGCAAATGAATGTTTTTATATTTGTCTACTTTGTAGAAATCTTATTGCAGACATATTTGGAGAATCTGGTGATGAAGAGGAAGAAGAATTTACAGTAAGTATAAGATGGAAATATTTCCTCCTTGGCTGTGCTTTTTTTGTTGTTTTTATGGCAGTGATGTAATTATAGATTATTCTAATAAGTAGGATATATTCAAGAGAAAAACATCTTTGTGATGTATTCAGGAGAAAAATCTAGAAGGAGGGATTCAGGAAGTAAAATGAGCGGGTATATACAAAGGCATAAAAGGAAGCTAGTGGGCAAAATTGAATTAAGGGGGAAGGGACACATTGAGACAAAGAAAGGCACTTAATAATGCTAAAGGGCAAGATTCACAGTAATTGGGGAACTTCCGATTTTCACAACGGCATTCTGGGTGATTGGGCTAACCCTTCTGCCAAGCACAACTAGAAAAGCTAGACAAAATATATAGAAATCTGCTCATTATCTAGGAACAAAGTAGCAAAGAATTACTAAGCCAAGAGAAACCTGAAGTGGTAACTCAGTGTTTAGAAGTGCTTTTTCTGTGGGGGTGTTTACCTGTCAGACCAAGAGGCTACTCATATTTTTGACAGCCTCAAGACTTGGGGACAAAATTTAGAGTTCGGGGCCTATTGTGGTTAGGGGGCTTTGTAAACCCCATACTCTGGATTGAGACTTCAGAGAGCAGCACCATTGGGTTCAGGGGGAAGTAAAATAGCCTTTGCTCAGATTTTAGGCCATCTTTGAATCTTCTGGCAGACTAGAGAACCTCAGTCTCAGAAATAAGATGACAGTGGTTTAAGTTTTTCGTATATACAGTACAATATACAAAAATAACATTAAAAGGAAACTAGCAATGACAGACAATAGAAATAGACTTAGAGCTCTAGATATAGGAATTTTAGATATCACCTTAATATGTTCAGGGAGATAAGAAACAAGATTAAAGATGTCAGAGCAAACAATTTAAAAAGGAGAAGGCAAATTTGGAAAAGAACCAAGTAGAAATTTAGAACTATAAAAATACAGTAACTGAAATTAAAAACTTTGGTGGACAGGTAGGTGCAAGTAGCTGGTAGTCCCAGTTACTCCGGGGGTAACTGGGAGGGTAGTTGGAGCCCAGAAGTTCGAAACCAGCCAGGGCAAAATAGTGAGGTCCTGTTTGAAAAGAAAAACAGGGCAGGAGGGAAGAAAAAAAAACAGTAAACTTAGTGGTTGAGTTTAACAACAGATTAGACATACTTGAAAAGAAAATTAGTGAACTGGAAGATAGGTTAGAAGGAGGGGTCTAGAATGAAGCTTTGAAATATACTGTTATAGAAGAAAGTAAAAGACATAGACTATATATGAAAAGTTTTCACAAAAATTGGAATAATGAAAGGAGAGGGAAAATTACATGTATAGCAGAAGCAGTATTTTAAAAAGAAATGATACCTAAACCATAGATTCTAGAAGTTCTACACATTGCAAGGAAGATAAAGAAATCTACACCTAACTACATCATAATAAAACTGCAAGAAACCAACGAAAATAGGAAAGTGTAAAAGCCACAGGAAAAAAAATACATTCAGAAAAGTAACGATTAGACTAACAGCTGACTTCACAACAGAAACAATAGAATCTACTAATGGCAAACCCAGAATTTCGTTAAATTTAGCCAAAATACTTTCCAGGAATGAAGATGAAATAAGGAGGGAATTAATTAACAATGTACCAGCTGAAGGAAATACAGAAGGAAAGAAATGCAAGAAAGAATGATCTCAGATGGAAGGTTAGAGATGCAGGAGGGAGAAAAGAGCAACAAAAGTATGTGTATAAGTCTAAATGAGTATTGACTATACAAAATGAAATGTGTTTAATGTGGAATATATATAAAATGAAAACATGACAGCAGTGAATTGGGAGCATACGTGGAATTGAAGTGCTCGCAGGCCTTTGCGAATGTCTATGAATGTACATTAGTAAACTGATAAGTTAGGGTGCGTGTTGTAGTCTCTAGAGTGACCACTAAAAAGACTAAAATGGAATGCGTAATTTCTAAACTAATAGAGGGGGGAGAAAATGGAACAGCTAGAGCTAATCAGTCGAAAATGAGCAGGAAAAGAAAAAGAACGCTAGGACAAGGGACAGTTAGAAAGTAGAAAGTATTACATGGTAAAACAGTAGATTTAAATTTTGATAATATCAGAAATTAAATTAAATGTAAATACTGAATGTTCCAGTTAAAGGACAACAATTGTCAGGCAGGATCTTAAAAACCAGCCATATACTGTTTTCAAGAGATTTGTCTGAAACAGAAGGTAAAGCTGAAAATAAAGGTATATGAAAAGGGACTTCATGTGAACATGGACCAAAAGAAAACTGATGTGGTATCTATAATATTATAAAAGAGGGAGGTAGACATTAAGGTAAAAAAAAAAAAAAAAGTACTTGAGATAAAGAGGTCACTTTATATCGATAAAAAGATTTTAAAATTGTTTGCACCTAATAACATGACTTTATATGCACACATAAAAATCAAAAATTGATAGAACTGAAAAGAGAAATGGACAAAAATCCATAATCTAAGAGAAATGTAACTGACAGAGGAAGCAGACCGAAAAAAACAGGGACGAGTCTCTATATAATCCGGATATAGTCATTTTTGGCAGTTATGAATGTTAAAAATACCTTTCATTTTGTTACTTCTTTTTCACTTTCTTAATGGAGTCTTTTTTAAAAAAAATTTTTAACTTTTAAATTTTTTTAGAATATCTTAAATTCATTCCTTTAACATGGAGTCTTCTGATGAACAAAAGTGCTTAATTTTAACATAGGATCAAATTTACCAATCTTTTTCTTTATGGTGAAAACTGAATTCTGCCTAAGAATTTTTGCCTGTCCCCAAGGTCATGAAGATACAAGTTATCTTCTAGAAGCTTGATTATTCAGTCTTTCACATTTAATTGTATAATTCACCTAAAATTGGTTTCGTATGTGATATGAGGTGAAAGTTAAGATTTTTTTCCTTATTTGGAGTATCCAGTTGACCCAGCACCATTTATTGAAAAGATCATCCTTTCCTACTATTCTGTAGTGCCGTCTTTGTCATATATCAAGTGTCTGTATATATTTTCCAATCTGTTTGCCACTCAGAAACTGAAAGCCTGCTTAAATAGTTCTTGGGTTAAAAAAGCAATACTTATTTTTAACCAATGCAATAGAGAGTGAAGGTAGATGAATTTAGAATCAAATTCAGGACAATAGTGAAATAAGAAAGTAAACCTAAGGAAAATATAAAGGAAGAATTGATTCAACAAATGTTTCAGAGACTGCTTGGACACTGCCTTCATGGAGCTCAGACTTAGTTAAGCACCATTTTGTAAGAATAAGGTATACTTACCTATTTTGGAGACTTAACATCAACTTGGTTATAGTTTCAGTTCAGTGAGAAAAACAATATACTAGGTGAACCACTGAGAAAGCCTCTAAGTGTAACACAAAAGGTAGACGCCATAAAGAAAAGACTGGCCGTTTCATTTACATAAAAATGAAAAGTTATGCCTGACAAATATTAGCATAAACAAAAACTGTACAAATGTGGGGATTGTACAGTTCTTGTCACTTGTAGAGGGCTATATCTAATTTTCAAAGAGATTTTACATAGTGATAAAAAGATGAACAGTCCAGCAAAAAATGCGCATAGGATATTCAGAGTTCACAGGGAAAGAATATGACACATGGCTTTGTAAACGTGAAAAAATGCCCAACGTTACCCCCATAGTAAGAAAATGCAAATAAAACTACCCTGAGATTTGTTTTCCGTCCAGAGATCAGTGGATATCAGTGTTTGATAGCCTGCTATAGTAGTGAGGACGTAGGGGAACAGGAGTCCTCATGCTTGCTGGCGAGATAATTGGTATAACCTCTGTGGAATACAGTTTGGCAAGTATTTCGCAATTTCAAATACGCAAAACTAAATGTGACTAGGCAAATAAATGAACAAATCATGGTTACAGCCATATTGTGAAATAGTCTAAAGCCTTGAAAAAAATGACAGGACTTAATACTAACATGCATTGGCCTCTAGATTCTTTTCTTAAATTTGGAACATGCAGAGCATTATCCGTACCCACTCTGAATAGTATGCTTCCATTTGTATAATAAGAGAGGATGCGAAGTATGTGTAGAAGTGCTTATATAAACGTACATTGTTTCTGGAAGGAAATGCAAGAAACCTAGTAACACTAGTGGCTGGAGAGGGACCTTTGTTATGTACCTTTTGATATCTATTGAATTTTTGTTCTTTGTGAATGAATTAATTTAAAAATGCAAAATACTAAGAACACTTAATACAGAAGAAAATCTGTAAGGAGGTTGTGATAATTTTGCATTTAGGGTTTTAACCAAGAAGATCTGGAAGAAGAAAAAAGTGAAACTCAGGTAAAAGAAGCAGAAGATTCAGATTCTGATGATAACATAAAGAGAGGAAAACAGTAAGTTTGTTTTTAAGGAATTTGTTAAAGAGAAGTTAAAAAATCAAGGTAGAGACTATTAAATTTTCATTTTGGTTCCTGGTTAAGTTTAGGAGTGAATCTATTCCTGTTTTTCTCCATTTACGTTGTTGTCAGTGAATTACCTGCTGCTGTTACTTGTTTTCATTTACCCTGTGCTTAGATGTCTTTCTTTGTGGAGTTGTATTTATATGGCACCAGACTTAATTTATGGTTCACCAAATAAACTCTTATGAAAAATAACCTAATTTTAAAAATACCTTTTTGAGAGAAAAGCTGATGGGGCTTTATGGGGCAGGGGAAGTAAGTCTAACATCTTAACTACAAAATATTACTTGACCATATTTCACTTACTTTTGTTGAGCTAGTTGGAATCTATGTTCAGAAAAATCTGGTATCTTAAAAGATGTTATACAGTAATAGAAGGATTAGTTACTCTTTCCAGTTGTAAAGATGTTTTTAAAAAGTAGTTTCATTTTGAATTCCTAGTGGCATGCAGTAATTAAACCGAATGAGTCTGGCAGTACTTCTGGAAATTGAATTGATATGATAGTGGCAGAGAATAACTTCCTCTTTTTTAAGTGTAATGATTCTGAAGAAAGCCATAAAGGTTTGAGGCGCTTAGCAAGCCTATAGATTTCCATGTGTATCTCTTATTATGTTTTGAGAGTTATACTTCTTATCACTGAAAAGCAGCAGCTTATTTTTCATTTTTTCTGCTCATGCTGTATAAGACAACAGCATTCAGATAATGAACACCTTCCTAGTCCAAGAAAGGGCAGTGCCACTAAAGCTGAATGAGTCCCCTCAATTGGCACTTAAAATACTTTCTCAAACTGATAGATGCCAGTGTGGATATAGTGCATGAGAAGTTCCGGGCTATTAGTGATTTACATGTGTATATATAACAGGGTAGTACAGGAATTGAACATAAAGTCTAGGATCAACTGTTCTTTTAATAGCAAGTTGTAAGTACAGTCACGCGTCGCTTAACAGGATATATTCTGAAAAGTGTGTCATTAGGTGATTTTGTTGTTGTATGAACATCATAGTATTACACAAACCTACATGGTGTTGCCTGCTACCCACCTCGGCTGTATGGTAAAGCCTATTGCTCCTAGGCCTGTTGCTCCGAGGGTACAAACCTGTGCAGCATGTTACTGTACTGAATGCTGTAGGCAGTGGTAACATGATGGTATTTGTGTATCTAAACATAGAAAAGGTACAGTTAAAATACAGTATAGTTGGGCGTGGTGGCTTATGCCTGTAATCTCAACATTTTGGGAGGCTGAGGCAGGAGGATCACTTGAGGTCAGGAGTTCAAGACAAGCCTGGGTGACATATAGTGAGTCCCTGTCTCTACAAAACATTTAAAAAATTAACCAGGCATGGTGGTATGGGCCTGTAGTCTCAACTATTCAGGAGGCTAAGGTAGAAGGATGAGCCCAGGCATTTGAGGCTATGGTAAACTAGGATTGTGCCACTGCACTCCAGCCTGGGTGACAGAGCAACACCCCAACTCTTTAAAATATATGTGTGTGTGTGTGAGATAAAATATGGTACACCTGTTTAAAGTACTTGCCACAAATGAAAGCAGGACTGGGTGAGTGGTGAGTGAATGTGAAGGCCTGGGACATTACTGTACACTACTATAGGCTTTATAAACACTGTACACTTAGGCTACATTAAATTTACAAAAAATATTTTTTTTCTTCAATAAAAAGTTAACCTTAGCTTACTGGATGGCCACCGTCGTATTCGCAGTTCGTCATTGACCGAAACATCGTTATGCGGCGCATGACTGTACTTGCACTTTTAAAAGAAGGTAGCACTTCATTGAGTTAGAATTAAGGAATTTGGTGTTCTTAATTGTGGTGAAAGTAAATGTGTATTTAAAAGACAACTTGTATTTCACTTGCTTTTGTTTACTGCTTTAGTATGGACTTTCTGTCGGATTTTGAGATGATGTTGCAGCGAAAAAAGAGCATGAGTGGCAAGCGCAGGCGGAACCGTGATGGTGGCACCTTTATTAGTGACGCAGACGACGTCGTGAGCGCCATGATCGTCAAGATGAATGAAGCTGCTGAGGTGAGTTGTGTTGCTTCTAGGTTCACCTTCTTTTCCTCCCACTGAGTTTATTGGATGCCCTTTTTTTGATGCTTAACCCTTAAACGACAGTTAAGATGCTTTGCTTTTTGTAGTAAAGCATTTACTGTTCTAAATTTTAATCATGGAAATATTTTAATTTTTTAGTCACGTGTTTAGAAAAAGTGAAAAGATGAAATATTCAGTAAAATGAAACGTTTTAGGTGAATGGCTTTGCTAGTTTCATGGGGCATGGTTTTGTTCTCAGATTTGGCTAGTTCACCACAAAGTTTATAATTCTTCATATATTAAAGGTGTTACAAATTCATGTGTTGTTCTCTTGCTCCTGATCAAGACATGGCTTCTTCCATTGCATTGTAAAAATCTGCTCAACTTATAAAAATTGGCCCAGTAGTATGTTTAAAAAACAAGTTCAGATCTTTTGGAGACACTTAGAGTTCAGCAGTGGATTCAATGATCTGTGTCTAGCATTTCTTTCAAAACAATTCAAGAATGGAGGAAAGTAGCTAAAAGAAGACTAGCTGTGTGTATTTAATTGTTGAAATGTATGCAACAGGCATATTATTCTACATTCTGTATTTGTAAAATTTGAAATTTTTCCTAATTAAAAAAAAAATAGAAAAAACTGCCCAAGTAAATACTGAAACTCTTTTTTGATATAGTATATTCCAATATCATATAACCTCACACCTGGAAAATTGTCCCTAATATCATAAACCAAAATTTCCCAGTTGTAATTTGTACCTTTGATGAACTCTGAAAACTTGACAGTCATGCTATTATTCTAACTTAAAATGGTTTCTCTCAACTTGTCGTTGTTAAAGGCAATTCTAATAGTTTTGTGGGTTTGACTGACATAGATACAGAGCTTGGTGCTCTGCAAAAGATCCATTCTTAAGTTACTCTTTCTTGTAGGAAAAATTGTTTCTTTGAAAAACTGTTATTTTATTTTAAGGTTCAGAATTACAGTGAATTCAATATTAACAATGAGTACTGTTTTAAAAAAAAATCTTTGTTTTTTTCTGAATAGGAAGACAGACAGTTGAACAATCAAAAAAAGCCGGCACTGAAAAAATTAACTTTACTGCCTACTGTAGTTATGCACCTTAAGAAGTAAGTGTTTTGTTTTCTTTAAAATGTCTTTTTCCTTTTCATGGAATGATAATTCAAATGATGTACTGGTGTTCTAGGAATACTAAATAATGATAGCCTTCTATCAGTTCACAGAAAGATAATGAATAAAATTTCCTGAATTATATTTCTTCATAAACTTTTATTAAACCTTGATGCCTGGTGCAAACAGAACAAATAAAAAATTGATACTAATGAAAGAAAAACTTGGAAACTACTAATTTTGTGTGTTTTTGTTTTTGCTTTTTTGGTAGAGACAGGATCTTGCTATGTTGCCCAGGCTTGTCTTGAACTCCTGGGCTTAAGTAATCCTCCCACCTCATCCTCTCAAAGTGCTGGAATTACAGACATGAGCCACTGCACCTGGCCCCTAATTTTGTTCTTTATAGACAGTTTTTGGTCTGGTAAAATTACATTTGTTTTCTCCGTGTGATGGAAAACAGAAAATCTTGGAAGACCCTACCTGAAGGCTGCATTGTCCAAGGCTTATATGACTCTAATGGGTCACAATTATTGGTCCTTCTGAAGTAATGATGCCCTTTTTGAGTAGATCCTTGTTTCTAACTTTTTTCATTGATTTGCTTTTTTTTTTTTTTTTTTTTTTTAATTAGAGACAGGATCTTGCTGTGTTGCCCAGGCTGGTCTCAAACTCCTGGGCTCAGGCAATCTTCCCGTCTCTACACCCGAAAGTCAAAGTACTGGAATGGGATTACACAAAGTACTGGAATGGGATTACACAAAGTACTGGAATGGGATTACAGGTGTGAGCCACCACGCCGGGCCCTGATTTGCTCATATTTCTGAGCAACCTTGCTTTCCCTTTGAACTAAGCCATAGCCTACTTTTGATGACTGAGGAAATGTATTGGCGCATCAGTAAGCCACCACCAGCATGGCCTAGAGCGTCTGTAACTAGAAAATTTCTCCCTCTGTTCTAACAGGGAAAACGATCTGTGGCGGGTTTTATGTATATAATGTCTTGTTTTCTATTAACATAACTGATTGTAGTACATAAAATGGAATTTAAGTATTATTTTATTGAAGGTGTTTTTTGTTTGTTTGTTTGTTTTTTGTCCTGCCAGGAGAGTGCTAGTCTCGTTGGTGTCCTGCAGAGAATAGCAATTCTGGGTTCACCACCATGTAAAATTTTTCAATAATCACTATTTTGATAGATTTAACGTTATTTTTTTTTTAGTTGAAATGATTGGAGTTAATTGTTCTTACTGTCTGTACCATTCATATCAGCATTAATTTATCTTGTGTAACTTGAGTTTGTTTTGTTTTCAGCAAATCATTTTTTGTCAGGTATATGCATTTCTGGAAGATAAGAACTAAATGTCATACTGCTTTTGAAACCAGAATGGTGTTCAGTAAATACCAAATGTATATGAATAACTTTTTTAAAGCAGCTTTTAGAAACATCACTAAATGTGTAAGAAAAGTCAGAAGATACAGTAGAACCAAGGTTCACGGAATTTTTAAAACTTATTATTATTACTGCAGGCAGGACCTTAAAGAAACATTCATTGACAGCGGTGTGATGTCTGCCATCAAAGAATGGCTCTCACCTCTACCAGACAGGAGTTTGCCTGCACTCAAGATCCGGGAGGAGCTGCTGAAGATCCTGCAAGAGGTTAGAGGCAGATAATCTGACTGTTCTTTAGTAATTATCTGTTGTGGTCTGTGTGATCATAACCTGTGTAGTTTACAGTGTTTGTATATGTTCTCTCTGCTACAGCCTTCCAGAAGAGGGGTTGGAAAAAAGGAACATATCTAGTAAAATGAGCGTGAAAGGGAAGACCATATAAAACTTCATATAACTATTGCATTGAAGGGGAAAGATCTTAGAGCAGCTGTGATGTGTCTGAGAAGAGTAGTACAGTAGTGGGCAAGTTCTGGGGAGATGTGACGTAGAATGAACACCAAATTCAGAGTCACAGGAACCTGCATTTGAATCTTGAGCTGGGCCACCTTACGTAGTTGTGACACCTTGGTTAAGCTATTTAACTTCTGAAGCAATTCCCAAGGAGTCTCCTATGCCACACACTGTGCCAGGTGCTTTATATATGTATCGGTTCATTTCTTCCTCACAGTAAACTGACAAGGTAGGTGTATTATTTCCATTTTACAGATGAGGGAATTAGATTCAGAGAAGTTAAATGACTTGTCAAGGTTACATAGCTAGAAGGTGGCTGTGTTTGGGTTCAGTCTTAGGTCTGTTGGATTCTGAGGCCTATGTTGGCTCCTGTATTAAACTGCTAACCTCTAAGTATGCTTAGTTCATACTTTCTCACATTGTTAGGTTTTACTTCAACTCAGCTGTAATACTGAACTCTCACCATTTTTTTTGGTTCGTTTTTGTTTTGTTTTGTTTTGTTTTTGAGACAGAGTTTCGCTTCTGGTGCCCAGGCTGGAGTACAGTGGCACGATCTCGGCTCACTGCAACCTCCGCCTCCTGGGTTCAAGCGATTCTCCTGCCTCGGCCTCCCGAGTAGCTGGGATTACAGGCAGCCACCACCACACCCGGCTACTTTTTGTATTTTTAGTAGAGATGGGGTTTCACCACATGTTGGCCAGGCTGGTCTTGAACTCCTGACCTCAGGTGATCCACCTGCCTCAGCCTCCCAAAGTGCTGGGATTACAAGCGATAGCCACCATGCCCGGCCTGAACCCTGAACTTTTGATGTGGACACAAAGTATCTTTGTGCTCTATTTCTGTAGATCCTGAAAATGGAATTTTTTATTTGTACTATTGTAAAGGCGCCAGGTCTCTAGTATAGATTAGCAAGACCCCCAGCTTCTGAGTGATTAATGTGTGTGTATGTGTTTATGTTCCCCAGCTGCCTAGTGTGAGCCAGGAGACCCTGAAGCATAGTGGGATTGGACGAGCAGTGATGTATCTCTATAAACACCCCAAGGAATCAAGGTCCAACAAGGACATGGCAGGGAAATTAATCAGTATGTAAATTTTCCTTTTCGTTTGTTGTGTTTATGTCTGTAGATAAGAGAGAGATGCGTATATATAAAAGCTGTATTTTTACCAGTATTTGTTTTGAATGAGTCAGTAAAGTGGAATAGAAATTTTTGAATAGCTTCTTACAGGTACCAGCTTTTTCTCTTAGACTTTAAAAAAACAAAACAAAACAAACCTCAGTGTAATTAAGTATACTATTCATTATTAAAAATAGCAAGTGGGTGCAGTGTCTTAATGCCTGTAATCCCAGCACTTTGGAGGCTGAGGTGGGCAGATCACAAGGTCAGGGGATCAAGACCATCCTGGCTAACATGGTGAAACCCTGTCTCTACTAAAAATACAAAAAATTAGCCGGGCATGGTGGCATACACCTGTAGTCCCAGCTACTTGGGAGGCTGAGGCAGGAGAATCGCTGGAACCCGGGAGGCAGAGCTTGCAGTGAGCCAAGATTGTGCCACTGCACTCCAGCCTGGGCAACAAGAGTGAGACTCAGTCTCAAAAAAAAAAAAAAAATTGCAAGTAAAAAGTATGCGTTTTCTAGTCATGGGTTGAGAGCATGGAGAGAGGGGTTAGATTGCAGGCTGTGGTGTTGATATTACCGGGATTCAGATCATGAATCCACCACCTACCTTACTGCATTTCCTTAGCGAGCGATTTGTGCTCTGTAAAATTGAGATAATTATGTGTTTTCTTCTGGGTGACTTTAAAGATTAAATGAGAGGTTGTGTCTAAAGCGTGGTGCCTAGCACATAGTAAGTACTCAAGAAACAGCCCCTGTTGTTGTTGTTGTTTGCACATTGGTCTCCAAAACCTTTTTGCATGTTCTTATTTAATGATGCCAGAGAAATCCAGAGACGTCTAAACCAAAATTTATGTGATCAAGCGTGTTGTTTGTGAAATTATTCAGTTTTAAGGATGAAACCCGTGTTCATTTTTGTTATCCTTCTTAACTCTTCTATGCTCCATGTTGAAAAGGAATTTTAAGAACTTCAAGGCTAGATTGAAAAAGTAACTACTACATTTGAATATAATAATTATTTTTCTTTTGAATTGCTAAGTTTGTCAGAAGCTTTTAGAGAAATGTAAATTTCTTCTATAAAACAGAGATACTGCTGTCTTTGATCTTGTTAGTAATCTGCAGTTTACTGCCTATTAAGTGATAAACTTTTGGTGCTTTTATGCAGTGGGTTCGCGACTTTCTTTTTTTGCCCCAGACTGAGAAAAGCAGAATATCCCTACTGGTGTCCATGACTTACTACAGCAGTGATTCTGAATCCATAAGTGGGGTCAATGGGGCAATTTTAAAAGATTGTAGACCCCCTGAGAACCCCTGCTTCCTTTGTGTGACAGCACCCATGTTCGGTCTATAAAGGTCCTTTCTTATTTGTATATTGTATTAAATGTAGCGGTAAGCTACATTATGTCTCAGAACAAAGGCATCAGTTGGCTCCTGGACTTTGACTGACTGAACGGTGGCATGTACTTTCTTTCATGGTCATTGTAGCAGCTATATTAGACTTAATGAAGTACAGAGTCTCTATCCATACTGTTAAACTGTAGTTTTTACAGATATAGACCATTTTGTAAGGTAGTGGTGAGGGAGCTTGTTTTGGGTTAGGAGAAGAAAGCAGAATTTCAAGACTTTGTATTTCCAGTAAACTTAGAAATTAGTTTACCTTTTAAAATAAATAAAAATTTTAAATAAATGTCTTTTATGAAATGTCAGTCCAGCTAATTGTTGACTATCAAAGTGTGTCACATGTTACTTTCTTTAATTCTCTGTGGTGATCTTTTACATTAAATTTTCTGAATCAGCCAGAGTTAGTCACAATACTGGCATTTTGCTTTGTTTATCCTATAAATTCTTCTGAAATAATGGGCTCTTCAAGGAAAGAATATTCTAAATGTCTAGAATATCCCCTCACACTAGGGTGCAATTATTTGAAAAAAATGGTAGGGGAAATGCAATTTTATGGACAAAATAATTGATTTTTTTCTTACTACAGATGAGTGGTCTAGGCCTATATTTGGTCTTACCTCCAACTACAAAGGAATGACAAGAGAAGAAAGGGAACAGAGAGATCTAGAACAGATGCCTCAACGACGAAGAATGAACAGGTATGAGGGAACAGGTATGAGTAAGTGGAATACATGTTATTGTTGTAGTAACTCAGTTTTAAGTAAGATCAGTAGGAAACCTGCAAGATGATAGAATTTCCTTTCCTCTCAGCTTGATATAGCTACATAATTCACAATATCCTTTTAGTTTAAATGTGATAGTGTATAGTCAGGGTCCTGTCCCCCTAACCAGACCTTTCTGGGTCAGTTTGTTGGAACAGAGCCTCTTTCACGATACTGATTGCTTGTGTTGTTCCAGCCACTTGCAAAAAACAACTTTCTGGGTCCCATTTCTGAGTTCCTAGAATAAAAAATGTTATAGGTTTGGTTTGTATCAATGTAGTGGACATACAGTTGCATCTAGGAGGACAGGGTCATTAGTTACAAATATGGCAATTACGGCTCACCCACAAGGAAACCTGTTATGCAGATGAATACTAAAATGAGTAGTACTTTTTAAAGATTAGGAGTTATTTTCCCTGATCCATTGTAAAAGAGCTATTAATAGTTATGGTCTAAGTTTGATATTTTAGTTTGCTCCTTTTCTGAGTTATTAGGTTCTAATATTCCTGGTATCTCCTTGTTTACTTTTTTTCCAGCACTGGTGGTCAGACACCCAGAAGAGACCTGGAAAAGGTGCTGACAGGAGAGGAGAAGTAAGGTTTTAATGTTAAGTTTTCTTCCTAGACTATGTAGAGAATTTCCGTTTGCTGCTTTAAGAAAAGTAGTAAATGAAATGATTCTCATTTACGGGAGGTGACTTTCATTTTAACGTTTAGTATCTACAAAGCATTGTATTGGGTACTCTGGGGATGTAAGGAAAATTGAGAAAATACTTCATTCAAAGATTTTTTGCTGCTTGCTGAGTGCTAGATTCCTTGTTGTGATCTGAGAATTTAAAAACAAATTAAAAATAGTCTATGCTCTCAGAAAGTATAAGTCTTTACAAGGATGATAGGCAAAGGGAGGTCTTTGGTAAAGCCATGGGGTAAGTGTGCCAGGTCTGTGTTTGGAATGGCAAGTAGACTGAAGGGGTTGGACAGTAGTATGGGGCCTGATAAGGTTGGAAATAATAGACCAGTGAAGGGCTTTGAATCAAGATGAGGAATTTTTGCATGCCTTGTGATTCCACAGAAAGTTTTTTGAGACTGGATGTGAAGCCGTCTGGTTTGATTTGATTTAGGATGCTGATGCCAATGGCATCGTGTAGGATGGGTTGGAGGGCAGTGGGACTGAGGCAGTGGTACAGCTAAACAGAGGTGGTGGTGGGGGAACAGAGGGGTGAGAAGATATTGCAGAGGCAAAGCTGTCATATGTTGGTGACTTAGTGGGAGAGAAGATGTCTAGAGTTAAAGACTTCAGCCAAAATTTTAACCTAAGTGCTGAGAAAGTGTCATTACCTTTCACCAAAATGGAGGGAGAAGTGGATTTGAGGAAACAGGCAAGTTCTCTTTTGAGCATATTAAATGTGAGATGCCTAATGAGATAGTCCTATAAATATTATGGGTCTAGAACTTGTAAAGAGATGTTTGGGCTAGAGACCTAGATTTGATGGTTCTCTCTATAGAAAAGATTGTTCAGTCAAGAAAGTATAGAGTAAGAAATGAACTAAACCATTTTGAAAGGGGGCGTAGCCAGGCAGAGTAGCCAGTGAAAGTGAATGAGCAGCTGTGGTCCTGTGTGTTGGAGCAGAGCCTGGAGGGGAATGAGGCTGAGCCGGAGGTGGCAGTGGCAAAAGCATGGGCCAGTGGCAGGTGCTGCGGAGGGCTTTGTGCAGGTGAGTTGGGAGTCAGGCAGCATCCAGATTGCAAGAGGAGAATAGGGGATGAGCTAGAGGAAGCAAGTTTGTTTAAGAAGGAAGTTGATGAGACCGTGCTTCAGAAGGAAAGTAAGAGTTACAGGGAATTTTCTTGGCAAGTCAATTAACCTGTTCATACGTATATGAAGGTTATAAAAGTTTAAGGTTGGCTGGGCACGGTGGCTCACGCCTATAATCCCAACACTTTGGGAGGCTGAGGCAGGCGGATCAGGAGGTCAGGAGATCGAGACCATCCTGGCTAACATGGAGAAACCCCATCTGTACTAAAAATACAAAAAATTAGCTGGGTGTGGTGGCGGGCATCTGTAGTCCCAGCTACTTGGGAGGCTGAGGCAGGAGAATGGCACAAACCCGGGAGATGGAGCTTGCATGAGCTGAGATCATGCCACTGCACTCTAGCCTGGGCAACAGAGCGAGACTCTGTCTCAACAACAACAACAACAAAAAGTCTAAGGTTAAAAATGGAATAAACTGTACAAGAGAATAGAAACAATTGAGAATTTTTTACCCTTCTCGCCCCATCCCCAACAGACACACACAGATCCGCTCTTTACTAGTTACCTAGAGGCTGAGTGGTTTGGATGCCCAGGCATCTGTAGATAGGCTTTACTTTGGAAGGTTAGTAATCTTACTTTAGTCTAGCATGGTTGCCCACGGATTTGCATAGAACTAAATACATACACATAAATGAGTGCAAGTGAAACTGGGGAAGTGTAAATCAGATCTGTGTACTGTATCAACATCAGTATCCTGGTTGTGATACTATGCTGTAGATTTGCAAGTTGTTACTATTGGGAGAGACATTGGATCTCTCTCTGTATCATTTCTTACAACTTCATTTGAATCTAATTATCTTCAAAAGATTTTTACAAAAATAAACATTAAAAATTACTGTATGAGTTGTATATTGAAAAACTACTTTATGGGCATACTGAGAGTTTTGGGGGGTCATTTGACGACTCAGTTCTTCACAGTTCCTCGTCTCACAAGTGAACTCATGAGTGACTCCACTAGACAAGAGAAAAGGGGATTCATGCTGGTGGGACTAGCCTTGGAAGGCAGAGGGGCATGAGTATATCTGAAGCTGAGGAGAGGAGAAAATGATTCATGCAGATGCAGAGCAAGTTGGCTTTGGAAGAGAAGCAAGGAATGCACACTGGAGTGTGTGTGGTGACAGGCTAGCTGAGAGGCGGCAGGAGGGTGGATTGGGTGACCTGAGGTGGGGAGCAGAGGAGTTTCGAACATTGCAGCTGAATGGGTGGATGTAGAAACAGTAGTGTGCAATGGCCTGTGTGCCCCACTGTGGTTGGCCACATAAGCAACATGCTCTTCCTCTTCCCTTTTTCAGGGCTCTTAGACCTGGAGATCCTGGATTCTGTGCCCGGGCAAGGGTCCCAATGCCCTCAAACAAGGACTATGTGGTCAGGCCCAAATGGAATGTGGAAATGGAGTCATCCAGGGTAAGCAAGTGGAGGATCGGCAAGGTGGATCTCACCTGCAGATTACTATTTTACTCTTTACTTCATGCGTTAATAACCCTTGTAGCTCTTAAGACTTGTCTGATTCAGAGAGGACTCTTTTCTGGTCGCTTATCTAGCCAAACCACAAATTGAGCAATAGAGAAAGGAAAAGTCTTACCCAGGATTAAAGTTTATTGCTGATGAACTTTTCTTCAGACCTAATGCAACATTATCAGGTAGGGAAGTTTGTTTTTATTAATCCCTTCAAGTGAGGCTTGAAATTGAAACCTGGTGTATTCTGATACAGTGATTTTTTTTTTTTTTTTTAATAACCATGAGAAACAGAGCTTACATGCTTCAGCAGACCTACCTCTCCCTTTCTCTTAGACAGTTTAAGCAATTCCGTTGGCAATAATTAGGGTAGACGCTTACTCTGTTATCACTGTAAATACTGCTCAGTAGATCTTCAGTGTTCCTCCGTAATCTCTTTTTATTCTCCAATCAAACTACTGCTTCTAGCCTGGTATTCTTAAAAAGGGCCTAAGCCGATTGGAAAAGCATAAGAGGCGATTTGCAGAACAGAAGCGACTCAGCAAAGTGCATCGTGCTGTCAAGTTCAGCATTGAAGGCAACAGGATGCCCCTGTAGGCCTGGCCCTGCCAGACTGTGTACACGAGAGGTATTCCCAAGGAAGCATGTACTGTGCATGGGCTTGAATTGTCAGCAGTCAGAGTGAAACGTGTGTGTGTGTGCTTTCCGAATCAGAAGAGGCCGCGTCTGCTTTTAGTTTCGAAATAATGACCCTAACAGGCACCTTGGGCTATTCAAGGCCTCTTGAATATTTAGAAATTGACATGGAAGCCCCTTTCTTTATCAGTATCCTAGAGACTAATAGATAATTACTTCCCTAATATGCATTTGGGTCTTCCTGACTGGTACCCATTTTTTTGAAAAAGGTTTTTATTAGGACCCAGAATTATAGTGATATGTGTTACAGGCTGTAAACTGGTTAGCGGCTTCTCGGTGGGAAGTAGCTTGTTTTCCTGCTGTCAGTGGCTCAGCAACATGCATTTGAGGACTCATTGCATAAAGCCTTACACTAAATATTTAGGAGATGAATTTGGTTAACCCATACTCACAATGTGGTCAGAAATGAAAAAGACTTTGGAACGTTCATAAGCCCGACTCACTGATCCGCTTTGAGATTAATAGTGGCACCTTTGTTGTGGAGTACATAGAGTCTGTGTGTTGCCTGCCTTTTGTGCTTCTCCATGACCCCTGATTTGGCAGCTGTTTCCACTGACTCCACTCTCCTACCTGCCAGTTCATGTTGCTGTTAAGTGACTATCAAAACAAAATGTACTTTCTTATTTCTTGAGAATAAATCAAGGGTAGAGAAGGACTAGTTCTGTGCCAAGAACTTCCTCCTCTCTCTCCTTTTCTTCTTTCTTACTTGTGCCCATATCCATGTCCCTGACCACCTCTCCATGTCCCCTGCACCCATTTCTTTTTTGCCCTTCTTTCCTTTTTCGAGACAAGTCTTGCTCTGTCGCCCAGGCTGGAGTGCAGTGGCGCGATTTCTGCTCACTGCAAGCTCCGCCTCCTGGGTTCACACCATTCTTCTGCCTCAGCCTCCCAAGCAGCTGGCCCGCCACCATGCCCAGCTAATTTTTTGTATTTTTGGTAGAGATGGGGTTTCACTGTGTTAGGATGGTCTCAATCTCCTGACCTAGTGATCTGCCTGCCTCGGCCTCCCAAAGTGCTGGGATTAAGGCGTGAGCCACCGTGCTTGGCCAACAATTTGAGGTTTTAAATGTATTTCCAGATATGCCTTGAACTTAGTTTTTATAATTATAGAAAATTTTTAGGTACAAAGAGAAAAATTATTCACGGTCCTAGCATTCAAAAGCAGTTTGACCTATTTGTTGTCTTTTTTTCTACTGATGACATTAATTAAAATTATACTAAATATCAGCCTGGACAACATAGCAAGACTCCATCTCTACCAAAAAATTAAAAAAGTAGCCAGGCATGGTGGCATGCACCTGTAGTCCTAGCTTCTTGGGAGGGTGAGGTGGGAGAATCACTTGAGCCCAGGAGTTTGAGGCTGCAGTGAGCTAGAATCCTGCCATTGCACTCCAGCCTGGGCAACAGAATGAGACCCTATCTCTAGAAAGAAAAAAAAAATACACACACACACACACACGTACACACCCACAGAAAATGACCAAATTATAGTTTGCTTTTTTTTTATTACGTATTTTATTTCTTTGTAGAGATGGTCTCACCATCTTGTTCAAGCTGCTCTCAAACGATCCTCTGGCCTTACAGGCAGGAGCCACCACGCCTGGCCATGAATATAATGTGTTTATTCATTCCTTTATGGTTTCTGATTTTTTACTCCTAAATAATGTAGTAACCTGTGCTACATTGTATTTTTTATATGTTCATTTACTCCATGGAATACTTTTTAAATAACAGTAAAATGACAAAAGCAATGCCTATTTTTTCATGAACTTTTAAAAATACAGAAAACATAGACAAAATTAGTGCCATGTGTAATCCCACTTCAACTTAATGTTAACATTTTAGATTATGTCTTTTTTTTTTTATATGTATGCATAGACAATATTACTGGTTTTTTTTTTTTTTTTTTTTTTTTTAAGAATTTTTATTTTTTTTTTTTTTTTCTTTTTTGGGTTTTTTTTTTTACCATGGTAAAAATCCATTTGAGTGAGCATTCTTGAGTGATTTCGCATTGTGTCTTCACACAGTGTGCCATAATTGAAGCTGCTTTTGGTCTTGTTCTGGTGAAGCAGTGTAGCACACACACTGACTTTCTAAGGAAGTGTAGTGTTCCCTTGATGAATCTGGAGGGAGATCATTGAACTCCGTGTGTGAGGTACTATGGTCTGTCTTTTCAAACTTGGGGTAACTAGTCATCTGCAACTACCAGTCATATATTTTGTAACCCACTAGTCCAGGTGTGTCCTGATTGCTGAGGCTAGACGGATCCATCAGGGCTTAGACAGTTAGTGAGGGTCCTGGGAGTAGGCGAAGGGGAGTCCAGTTAGTGTGTGGAGCTGCTGGGAATTGTGTAGTTGGCAGAGATTTGAGCAGGTAAAGCTTCCGATGTGGACCGAGTACAAGTACTAAGATCACGGCACATCCTCTGAAAGGAAGTCAGATATATGGGACTGTCCAGGAGGTCTGGGAGATAGTGTGATGGTGGCATAGCTCTTTCTCATCTGACACTTTTTATGCTTACTCAGAGTACTAATACCAAGTATTGAGACTGATACAGAGTAATATTTGAATTGAGATATTTCTAGAAAGATAGGTCAACATGGCTCTTGATCAAGAATGACTTCGAGTTCCTTGCCTAGTGCTCAGCTGGCTTCGTGTTGGGGTTGAGGCTGGGTCCAGAGGTAGGATAAGATTCGGAAGGCTACTGGACAGAAAAGAAGCTCACCAGACTGGTATTGACCCCAGAGTGTCTCCCAGGCCCCACCTTATTTTAGCATTCTTTTGAATTGAGTTTCAGAGGTGATTCAGTAGTAAACGTATGGGGAGAAGAATTAGAAAAACCCATCTCTTTTTAAGCACTCACCATTCTTAAACATCTAAATTGTTTTACAACAGAGTTGGCAAACCTTTCTAGCATTTCTAAAAGGTGGCAGTTTCTTGGAGACCATATCTTTGCAAGACAGTATTTTCAATATAAAATAGCCCCCAAACCAAACCTTTAAACATAAAGGGCAAGTGGGTCAAGACTTAAGATTCTTTTTGTGTCAAGTATACTTAATGTAAATCTAGTTGCTTGTGAAGTAGTAAAATAGTAATAGCTCCTATTATTTTGTGCACTGACTATATGTGCTCAGCCTCTGTGCTTGGATCTGACATCACTATCTCATTTCCTTCTCTCAGCAGTTCTGGAAAGAGGACCTACCATGGGTGTGCTTTGCCCAGGGTCACAGAAGTCACTGCATCAGAGCAGGGATTCACCCCAAGTCTAAAAACTGAAGAGCTCCCGCACTTAAGGGTTCACTTTACTAATCATCTAACCTCATTTATTACGCTTAAGGCTTTTTCTCAGCTGACTTGACTTTGTTTTAGGTCACTCTTTTCTATGCCAGCACTGTTTGAAAGTGTATGTCAAGTGATTAGCTCCACATTTGGTCTTCGAAAGGGAGAAGCATGCAGTTAAAATGTAATGTACATGATGGAATACGGAGAATCATAGTTTCGGTTTCCCCCCCCTTTCTCCCATCTAGGAGACCTCCATGGACTGCAGCAAAATTAAAAATAAAGCACAGACAACAGAATTATTCTTCGTTGAGAGAGTTTAATATGCGTTTCTTATTATACTGTTAGAACAGTCTGGATGCTCTGTTCTTGAGGTCATCAACACACGTTCTGGTTATTCTAGAGCTAGGAGCTCTTCTGGTTGCTAACTTTCAGTTATAAGAAGATGAAAGACAAAACTAGACTTATGTATTTCAGTAGTTTGCTCTTTAATTTTTCCCTCACTCTTAGTTTCAGGCGACCTCCAAGAAGGGTATCAGTCGACTGGATAAACAGATGAGAAAGTTCACAGATATCAGGAAAAAAAGCAGATCTGCCCACGCAGTGAAAATCAGCATTGAGGGCAACAAAATGCCGTTGTGACCTTGCCTGGAATGTGTCCCCGTCTCTACTCTGAGAAATGCGCAATGGACTCTTTGGAGAAAGAAGATATTTTAAAACATTTTTAGTGTGTCTGTCAATGGTTCCGTGTGTATCAGATGTTGTCATAGGACTCTCATTTCTCTCAGTTATATTTAAAACTGTTTGTTGTGTACTTTGTACAGAGGAATACTAGTCATACTTCTATAAACTTTACACAATAAAATTTCATTCTGATTTCGGGGGGCTGTCTCTTCATTTCTTAAGAGGATGCATTCTTAATGGGGCAAAGATTGTTTCTCATTGTGTGGGAACAAATCTTACGATATTACAGAGGTTTGTGACCTTTAGCGGTTCAATCCTGCCTGATCGTGGTATAATGAGGAATTTATCTGGCCTTTGCCCCTGGTTGCTGGCAAGGAATGTCTAAAACCCTTGTGGTTTCCTGAGTGATAGAGTGTCTCTGTTATGCTAATGAGGTGACTGTGTGGTGGGTTTTTGGATAGAGGCTGGTAACCAGAAACCTACTACAGAGGGACCTGAGAGATTGAGACACAGTCAGTGACCTGTTTGATGTAGTCACCCATGCCTGCAAAATGGGACTTGATGAAGAGCTCTGGACACCACAGCTCAATGAAGCTTCTTGGTTGGTGAAGGCATTGGTGTGCTGGGAGGGAAAAGATTCCCCTCTATTGGGACGGGCACAGAAGCTGTGCCTTCCCTCCCAGACCTTCCCCGATGTATCCCTTCATTTGGCCCTCCTAATTCATATCTTCTATAGTAAAACTAATCATAGTGTTTTCTAGGGAAGCATAGTGCTTTCCTGAGTTCTGTCAGTCATTTTAGCAAGTTCTTAAACCCGAGAGGTTTATGGGAACCCCAAATTTGTAGCTGGTCAGAAGTGACAGTAGCCTGGATACCCCACTTGTGGCTTGCATCTGAAGTGAGGGCAGTATTGTGGAGGATTGATGCATTAAATCTGTGCAGTCTGATGCCAGCTCTGGGCGTTTCGTATCAGAATTGAATTGCAGTACCTCAGTTGGGGTGGAAATGGAATGCCAACAAAATCTTATTAATGTGTTTCTCTTGGGATAATTATTTTGATTTTCATTTTTCTCTGGGATGGGGGCTTATAACAGAAAAGATCAAGAAATACTACTGTCGCTGGGCGCGGTGGCTCACGCCTGTAATCCCAGCACTTTGGAGGCTGAGACGGGCGGATCACGAGGTCAGGAGATCGAGACCATCCTGGCTAACACGGTGAAACCCCGTCTCTACTAAAAAATGCAAAAAACTACCCTGGCGAGGTGGCGGGCGCCTGTAGTCCCAGCTACTCGGGAGGCTGAGGCAGGAGAATGGCGGGAACCCGGGAGGCAGAGCTTGCAGTGAGCTGAGATCCGGCCACTGCACTCCAGCCCGGGCTACAGAGCGAGACTCCGTCTCAAAAAAAATAAAAAATAAAAAAGAAATACTACTGTCTCAAGGAAATACGGACATAACTGAAAATCACTATGCCAAAAGCTTAAGAGCAGTTGAGCAATTAGGGGAGAGAGAAAAATCACAGCTTGTGGCTGTTTCTTGTCGCTCTATTTTTGTGATACTCTCACTATTTTAATAGTCTCTATAGACTTAATTATGAGAGGTCTCTTAAGGTCAAGATGATGAGGCCTAAGAACATTTTATCAACTAGATGATTTTAATTACAGAAATCCTACTCTCATACCGATTGGCACCTTGATCTTCAGAAACACATAAAACTACTTTTGGCCACAAAGACTTTTGAACAGCTAAAATAATGAAGTGTATGTACTAAAACACTGCTCACAAGAAACTCAAACTTTACTTTCAACAAACGCAGAAGCACAGTAGGATGTAGTGCTTTGTAAAAAGCAGGTACATAAAGCCTTTAGAAGGTAATAGCTAACCACTAGATGGAGACAAAAACCTTCAGCTTTTCTGCAGTGATTTATACAAATACCCTCAAAAACACTTGAGAAGGAAAAAGCACAGACATCTAGTGAAGCCTTACATTGATCATTAAAAATCAAATTTGAAACAAAGACGAAGGTTGTATTTAAGGAAGATTTGTAAGTTATTTATATGATTTTGTCATTTAATGGGGTCAGCTCCAATTACCTGAAAATTTCACTATTACAGGGTAAAACTTACAATGTTGACAAGTAATAACGTTTTAAACCATACCTGGGGAATTCAAGATAGTAGGAGATTCTCCTGTACTGTGTTTGAAGGAAAAAGTTTCTATATAAATGATCCTTGGTGTTGGTTTTATGGCAGCTCAAACCTTGCTGGCCAGAAAAACTTTAAATTTTGAAAATATTTCCAATTTACAGTAGTTGCAAAAATAGTAAATAAACTCCGCTATACTCATATTTACCAAGTGTTAACGTTTTGCCACATCATTGACTCTATCATCTTGTATATACATAGAACTATTTTTGCAGACTCATGAGAGTAACTTGCTGACAACTTGTCCCTTGAGCCCCAAATACTTAAGCATATTTCTTCCAAGAACATAGACTTTAGTTTTGTCCCAGAATTGATGATACTAATTTTGACAACTTGGGTATAATGTGAAGGGGTTGGTTGGTTGGTTAAGAGATGGGTTCTTGCTATGTTGGCCAGGCTGAAGTGCAGTGGTGTGATCATAGTTCCCTGCAGCCTTGAACTCCCAGGCTCAAGCAATCCTCCTGCCTCAGTCTCCTCCCAAGTGGCAAGCACTGTCATGCTTGGCTTTTCTTCTTCCTCTTCCTCTTCCTCCTCTTCCTTTCTCTTCTTCCTCTTCCTCTTCTTCCTCTTCCTCTCCTTCCTCTTCCTCTTCCTTTCCTTCCTCTTCCTCTTCTTCCTCCTCTTCTTCCTCTTCTTCCTCTTCTGGTTTTAAGATTTACTATCTTAAACAGTTTTACTGCTCAGTGGCATTGAATATGTTCACAGTGTACAACCATCACCACCATTCATCTTCAGAAATCTTTTCATCTTGCAAAATTTTAACTCTACCCATCAAAGAACTCCCCTTTCTTCCTCCCCCAAGCTCTTGGCAACCAACATTCTACTTTCTGTCTCTGACGAGTTGTCTGTTCTAGGTACCTCATATAAGTGGAATCATACATTTTTCTTTTTGCAACTGTCTTATTTCACTTGGTATAATGTCCTCAAGGTTTGTCCATGTGTCCAAATTTCCTTGCATTTTAAGGTTGAATAATATTCCAGTGTGTGTATATACTACATGCTGTTTGTCCATTCATCTGTCAGTGGACACTTGGGTTGCCTCCACCTTTGGCCATTGTAAATAATGCTGCTGTGATCATGGGTGTACAAGTATTTGCTCAAGACCTTTTTTTCTTCACTTCTAGAAACTATTAAAAAAGAACCCTTTTTTTTTTTTTTTTCAATTCTTTTGGTTATATACCTAGAAGTAGAATTGCTAGATTATATGGTAATTCCATTTTAAATTTTTTTAGAAAGTGCCATACATATACTTTCCATAGGGGCTGCACAATTTTATATTCACATCAGTAATACACAAGAGTTCCAATTTCTCCATATGCTTGCTGACACTTTATTTTTATTTTTTGATGGTAGCCAACTTAAGTGATGTGAGGTGGTATCTTGCGATTTTAGTTTGTATTTCCCTAATGATAGTGATGTAGAGCATCTTTTAATGTGCTTTTTGACCATTTATATATCTTCCTTGGAGAAACGTCTATTCAAGTCATTTGCCCAGTTTTAGATTGGGTTGTTTGGTGTGAGTTGTAGGAGTGCTTTGTGTATTGGTGTTAATGCTTTATCAGCTATATGATTTGCAAATATTTTATTTCATTCTTTAGATTGCCTTTTCACTCTGTTGATTGTGTTCTTTGATGCACACATTATTTAAATTTTGCTGTATCTTTTTTCTTTTATTGCCTGTGTTTTTGGTGTCATATCAAAAAAATTATTGCCAAATTCAATATTACGAAGCTTTTACCCTATAATTTTGTAACTTTAGCTCTTATGTTTAGGTCTCTCATCCATTTCTAATTAATTTTTTTTGTATATTGTGTAAAATAAGGTTCCAATTTTATCCATTTGCATATAGATATCAGGTTTCCCTAGCAACATTTACTGAAAACAAAAAACTTACTTTCCCCATGGAATAGTCTTGGCCGTCTTGTCAAAAATCATTTGACCGCATGTGTAAGAGTTGATTTCTGGACTTTGTTCTTTTCCATTTGTCTGTATGTTGCAATATAGAACTGTCTGTGTATCTGTCCCCACTATGACGCTGTTTTGATTACTGTAGCTTTGTAGTAAATTCTGAAGTCAGGACGTGTGAGTCTTCCAACTTTGTTGTTTTTCAAGATTGTTTTGGTTATTTGAGATTTCATGTGAATTTTTAAATGGATTTTTCTATATATGCAGTAAACATAATTGGTATTTTGTTAGGAATTGCACTGAATCTGTAGAGGTGCTCTGGGTAGTACTGACTTAACAATATTAAGTCTTTGAATCATGAACATAGAATATCTTCATTTACTGGTGTCTTCTTTAATTTCCTTAATGTTTTGTAGTCTTCTTTTCCTTTTTTCCTTTTCTTTTTCTTTCTTTACTTTCTTTTCATTCTTCTTTTTGATTTAGATTCTCACTTTGTTGTCCAGGCTTGTCTCAAACTCCTGGCTTCAAGCAATCTTCCCACCTCAGCTTTCCAAGTAGCTAGGACTACAGGTGTGTGCCACCATGCCCAGATAATTTTTTTTGTAGAGTTGAGGTCTTGCTATGTTGCCCAGGCTGCTCTTCAACTCCTGGCCTCAAGCGATCCTCCTGCTTAGGCCTCCAAAGTGCTAGGATTGCAGATGTGAGCCACCATGCATGGACTGTAGTTTTCAATGTACAAGTCTTTCGCCTCTTTGATTAGCTATATTCCTAAGTATTTTATTCTAATTGATGCTGTCATAAATTGAATTGTTTTCATAAGTTCCTTTTAGGATTGCTCATTGTTAACATGTAAAAATGCAACTGATTTTTGTATTGATTTTTGTATCCTGCAGCTTTTCTGAATTTGTTTATTCTAACAGTTTTGTCTGGTTTTGGAGGTGTTTTGTGTACTCTCTGGGCTCATGTAATACCATGTTGTCTGCAAACAGATAATTTAATTTCCTTCCAGTTTGGATGCCTTTTTAATTTCTTTTTTATGCCTAATTGTTCCAGCTAAGATTTCCAGTACTATGTTGAATAGATGTGGT